GCTGGGTCGCAGTTACGCCCCCTAGAAAGTTTCGACGGGAGAAATTACTGCCACGGGGGCAAAGTGGAGATTTTAAATTCAGCTTCGAGTCATATCTAGGTCTCACGTTAAGCTTGAGTTTTAGACAGTTTTGGCATACATTTATGTTGTAACGAGATTAAGCAAGAAGCTTGAATTTTTCGGGAATATTTACCGTCCAAGTGCAGGCCCGTGCCTAAGCGTAAAATTAACTGCTGCTTTCACATGTGCGCTGCTCACGGATGCGCAAGAAAACAGAAGTTTTACGCGAATGCTGATGTAACTTATGTGTCGCTAAAAGCATAAAATGAGATTTTACAAACGCTTATTTCCTGCATACGGATATCACGAACTTGAATGTGCATTTTTTCGTGGACCCTCATCGGAATCGAATTATATGTCAATTGCACTTGGCTGATATGCTGCGTCATACTTAATGATGTTGGTGTGCATGTGAGGTAGCGTCAAAATCTAATGTAATAATTGGCTTTCACGAAGCTCTTCCTCGGAAAGCTCGCACGAAGCGGTACTGTGAGGTAGTCTGTAGATCACAGAATTTACAAGCTGCCCCACCTTTTGGTTTTGTGGGTGTTACCGGAAGACCAGAGCGGTGTTGCAGCTAGTAAGGAAAGAAGGTATTGAAGATGCGTGTGTTTATGTGTGTTTGTGTGTGTGAGAGGGCTCGGTGTCCATTGTCCAGATGAAATTGAGGTCGCGTCTTGACTATTGTTCGGGGCACAGGGAGGTTGCGTTGGGCGTCCATTACCCGAAGAGGGGAGGGGGACGTGTCCGGAGTGGGAGCACGACGGCGCTGTTTGCGACTAATTCGGGCAGTGCAATCATTCATAAATCGAATAAAACGATTTCATATAAAAGATGCTGCATTCATTGTTCGCTCGCATAATGGCCGGTCGCTCTTCCTTGCTTTGTTAGTTCTTTGCGTCGTATTACTTTTGGTCGACGACGGGTTCTCACAGTGAAGGGGGGCGAGAGGGCCCGGGCTTGGGCGCCCGATTTTTCATTTCCCGAAACAGCAGGGGAGCAGTGTAACCGGTTCTGTGTTCTCCGCATGAACTTTCAATATGGGCACAGGGGCTCAACATAGGACTGGACTAAAATTATTTGAGGAGCGTTGCATTGCGTGTGGAAGCATTTTTATACCTACTTTTGCCAGAGTTATCACCGAATTGCTAGAAAAAAGGTCTATGTTTTGGAAAGGGATTGAAAACGAAATAAGCGATGGAGGCCCACTTTCGGGTTGGGCATTTCGAAATAACTTTCGGAAGTTTGGTACTCCACTGCCCCACTGGTGAACTGGTTAGCATTTTCGCACTCTTCCGGTATTTCTGAAGCCACGCAACAGAAGAAGCGCGGCTTTCAATAACCTTCAGTAATTTTTTCTGGTACCTCTATTGTTTCGATACTTTTATCGGCCATTTCTTCTCGTTGTAATCCTTTTGCGAATCCTAGTCGATGCTTGTCATGTCCATAGGAGTATCTCCATAATGTCGTTCCTAAAAACAAGGAACAAATATCGCAGGCAGGACTATATGTAGTGGCTGCCGAAGGAAGTGTACCGTACATGGCAAGTCAGCGTAATCACCATCACCGGAATCGCCGATATTTGTAGCAAAATAGCGATTTTGAGAATTGGGCAAACTAGGGAGCGGAAATTTTTCGAGGATATTATATATCTACCTACGGTCTAAAGGTTTTAAATGCAACTTTGAGGCACGCCCTAACTTTATGCTCAAGTAGAATTTTAGTTTTGGATAACTTCAGCACCCAATTTAACTCTACAGCTGGACGGGGCGAGGAGACGCAGTTTTGTGAGGATGTTTACCGTCTCAATATACCGCCTGGTAATTTTAAGATGCCTCAATTGCGGACGTGCCAAGTGTTCAAATTACAGCACTTTCGTCATCTTTTTTTCGCGATAAACAGAAAAAGCAAGAAAGCAAAAATTTACTGGCATATTTTGTGCGTTACGAAAAATGTAAAATTAGGTGTCATAAATGCCTAGGTTTCCCGGCGCCGTAGACTTAGTAGTGCGCTCTTTGTGGATAGCCTCTCTTTTAAGGTAATGCTTCCTACTCTGACCAATCGCAGGGTTGAGCAAGGCTTCGTCGAAGCGGCCTGTCCTGGTATGTGCATCCTGGAATAGGAAGAAGTGCATTGTGCAGTTCTTCGTCCGGAAGGCGCATAGCTCGGGCTAATAAATGCTTCTTCTTTATAGCATGGAAGTTTTTTGTGCTTGATTTTAAGTACTTTGTTTGCTTTTTTCGTCGGCATGATGTGAAAACATGGCTTTTTTAACGAAGAGCAGTAGATGTGGGGTTGCGCACACCGTCATTAGTCTTCTCTCAACACTGCTGATGTGCACACGAGCGTGCGTACTGAAGAACTTGTGATGCGAGCTGTGTATGTAAGGATGCATCGCATTCGACGAATCGTCGCTTTCCTATGAATTTTTGCGGATCATAATCATCACATTTTTCAGATAAGGCACTATTTTCAACAATACAGTGGTTGCTAAGCGGGAAAATAAAGGAGATGGCTCACGACGGTTTCGGGATTCATCGCAGCTCTTCCGGTTAGTTGTTGATCACACACGGTGGGGTGGCTCGTCTCTGGCTGCTGAAATTCCGTTCGTAGAAGCAAGACCTAGAAGAGCATAGGTAGCAAAATCTGGCTTTTCTCCGGATTCTGTATTTCACTTCGCCGATCGGAGGTCAGTTTGGTCTTGAAGCATTGAAATCTGATGTACCGCTTCCCGCTTCCCTCTTTCTGCGCCTTGTCTTCCACACCTGGATTGCTGGTTGGAGCAGTAGTTGCTGCCGAGCAAAAAAAAAGTCCACTTAACTTTTTAGCACAGCACCTGGCAGAAATATGGTTTTTCATTCCAGTTTTTGATATTTGCAGAACT